GTCGAGGGGGCCGGGGCGGGGACTGTTGAAGGAGGCGTCGTGAGGACTGGGTTGCCGAGGGCTGCCGCAGAAAGTCAGAGGGTTGATGCTGCCTGGGGGTGGGGCCACGTCGAGGCACGCGGCTCAGAGAAACGCACACTGACGCGACGACGTTGCAGAAGGACTGGGCCCGGCCCCGCCATTTCGCCTGCCGCAGCAAAGCATGTGCCGACGCAGCTCGTCCCCCCCAGGCCCGCCCACCTGAGGCGCGGTATGGGGTCAGTGCCGTGCACCACCGACGTAACGTAGTCCTGGCAGGCCTCCGTGAGGCTCTCTGACAGCGTCGCCGCCGGCCCCATCGCCACGCACCGCACCTGGAGGGGCGGGGCGCAGAAGCAGGGGTGCACGCGCGATGCATCGCAGCGCTTGGGAACGCAGCCGGCGCTATGCAATCGACTGTTTGACCCTTTCGAGGGCATGGGCAGATCTGCCGCTGTGGGCTTGTACCAAAGCCAAGGCAGATTGCTGGTGAGGTTTGGGTTCAGCGCCATGCTGATGGCTTCAATCTTCGCTCTCGCCCTCTGCACTCGCCTCGGTAATGCCTGGCGGCGCGCCCCCAGGCTGCAGCAGCAGCAGCGTCACCAGGGCGGCCACACCGCCGCCCAGGGAGTGACCTGGGGGGGAGGGGTAGTGAGATCGGGTGATGTGAGCATGCGACAAACACCCTTGAGAAGCAGGTGGCACTATCAGCCCGATGACAGCTGTCTGCTTCGATGCACAACTGCAAAACCCCCCAAACGCAGCCCATCCAGGCGGCCGCCCAGCCCGAGCCGCACGGCCCGAGGCGCGCCGCCCAAGCCGCGCCGCCCGCAACCGTACCAGTCAGCAGCACCGGCCACCCCGGACACCGCTGCGCCGCCTCCTCCAGCGCGCCCGCCGTGCTCGCGTGCACGTACGTCGCCGCCGACAGCAGGCCCTCGTGCACGAAACCTCGGACGCCATTGAACTCCCACGCCACCGGGGCCGCTGTCATGTCGGTGTACAGATCGCTGACCTCGAGGCTGCCTCTGACCCCGACGACGATGCGGCGGCTGCGGCGGTCGATGGCGACGTAGTGGCAGGGCTGGAAGTCCGAGGCCGACCACTCGGCCTTCAGAACGTCCTCGGGGGCCAGTCCCGTCATCGACAGCAGCGCCTGGTTGTTGGCCTGCACTGACGTGCCTGGGGGTCGGGGGCGGAAGTTGGAGGGGTGAGGTTGGCCAGGGGCGTGGGTGACGCGGGTTGTGCGGTCGTGACGACTGCCGGCAGAGGGGAGGAGGCAGAGGGGGGGCGGCGCGCCGCCTGTGATGCAACGCAGCTGCCCACGTTCGCGACAGAACTAGCGGCAGAGCAACCGCCGAGGATGAAGTGGAGTCTATCAAGGGTCCCACAACCACGACGCATGAAAGGCGTCGGGTCCGCCCTGCGTGCCGGCACGGCTGCCTTCTACGGCCGCAACACGCGCGCTGCCAGTCGTGGCCCCCGCGCCCGCCCCATCGGCGGCGGCGGCGCACCCGAGATTGGGTCGAACAGCGGCAGCGTCGCTAGCAGCTTCAGCGCGCCCGTCATTGAGGACAGGTGGCCGGCCGCGACGACGTAGCCGTACGCCGCACGCGCGAAGGTGGCGCCCAAAACGAGCTCGTCCAGCAGCTCCGCAGAGCACATATGCAGCTGCAGGGCAGCTTCCGCCTCCGCCTCCGCGCCGCCGCCGCCGGGCGCGCCACAGCTGCCGCCGCCGCCGCCGCCGCCGCCGTCGGCTGCCGCGGGGCCGCCAAGGGGAAGGACCAAAAACGCGGGGGGCGGCCCGCTGACGCAGGCGCCGCGTCCTGCACCGGCGGCGTCGCCCCCGCCGCTGTGCCCCTGCTGCTGCCCCTCGACCCGCGCGGTCCCTGATCCCGCCCCTGCCTCGCCCCTGGCTTGCGGCGCCCCCTGCAGGACCAGCCGCGGCCGGTCCTCCTCCTGGAGCCGTTGCCGCCGCTCGCTGCGCCGCGCGGCCGCGGCCTCGCCCAGCGCGCCCAGCAGGCCATCCTTTGCAAACCACACGAGGCGGCGCAGCTGCGCCAGCTGCTGCCGCTTCATGCAGTCGGAATGCTCGCCCATGACGAAGAACCAGCCGCTGGGCGGTTATGAAAATGGGCGGTTGGGGCGGGGTGGTTGCTGTTCAAAGGGGGGACTCGTAAGCGGCCAACCGGCGTGTGTGCGGTTTGTAACCAGGGTAAATTCCGCGGGCTGTGGCGGGAGGGCTGGGTTCAGCGCGGTGTGCATGCAAGTGTGCATGCAAACTCAACCCGCGATCCGACCGCCGGCACGTGCGCGCTCGCGGTGCAGACGGAAAAGCACACCCCTCCCGCATGCCCGCGTGCCCGCGTGCCCGCATGCCCGCATGCGCTTGCGCGCGCCTGAAGTCTAGGGTCAGCAGGTTGGATGCGTCGTGGCGCTCTGCTGCGCTTTTTATGAGCTCCGACAGCTGCACCCACACCGCCGACACCGTGGCCTTGGAGGCGGCGCCCTGCTTGACAGCGGACGACACCGCGCTCGCGGCGTTGGACACGGCGTGCGCGGCGTTGGACACTGCGTGGCCGGCGGCGGCGCCGGCGCGGACGGCGGCGGCTTTTGCCGACGACCGGTGCGGCTGGCTGTCCGCCTGCGGGGGGTGTGGGAGTAGGTACGATGGGTTGTCATGGTTTGCTAATGAATGCAATCCCTGCGGCTTCTGCAGCCTGTAAGCAGCTAGACCTTTCATGTGCAGCTAAGTATGTGTCTACCCTCCATAAACGGCAGGATTAGCACCATGCGCTCTCGCCACCCACATCAACAGCCCCGCACCTCGCTGCTGCGCCTGCGCTGCCCTGCCGGCCCCGGCGGCCCCTTGCGCCACAGCCGGCTGCGTATGCTGTCGCTCGCGCGCTTTGAAGCGCGGCCGCCAGGACGATCGTACTGCAGGCGCTCGAACGACGTGCCGTACATCCACCCATCGGCGTCAGTTGCCGCGCTGCGCGCGACCCGCCAGCCGCGGTCCCCATCATCGGACGGCGGCGCTTCCGGCCACGCGACGGCGACGCCCTTGGCGTCGGTCCAGGCCGGCAGGGACCCAGGAATGAACATGACTTGAAAGGATTCGCGCCTGCGGTTGGGCCGCGGCGCGGTCGCAGCGCAGCCGTGGGTGCGTCACACTAGGCGCCCGCTCCCTGCTGCTCGCCAGCACGGCGCAGCATGCGTCCAGCGCTGCTGCAAGGCCCCAAGGTGGGAGTGACCGACATTAATTTCAGCCGTATTTCACGGTTGTTGAAGCGATCCCAGGCCCATGCGCACCATCCTATCACACCGAACCAAAACTGGTTCTCCAGGACCTCGATGGATCCAGCCATCCTAATAATTCGTCACATGGATGTTATAGCATTCACGTATGCTGCGTGCACAGCCATGGGCACACGATCTGAGGAAGTTTGAGTTTGCACCGTGTGGCACTAGGTGCGATCGGGTTACTGTGGCTCATGGACCAATGGGGACCGTCGTATGCAATCGAAACTATTTTGAACGTGTTTTACAGCCTCTCACAATGGCTCTGTCTACCACAGTACGTGTGCCCGCGGCTTCATCTACGCGGGCTCGCAGCAATGCGGCATCACGTCAGCGCGTGATAGCTATCAAGGCTACTGCTTCCGTGCAGCCGATCACGCCTGCGGTCATCGAGCAGCGCGAGCTAGGCCAGACAGGTGCGCTCCCACCGCCCTTGTGGCGCTCGCGCTCTGTGCGCCGCAGCCACTGACTGCGGCACGCTCGATCGCCCTGGCTTTCCAAGAGCTTTGTTGGCGGATACGCTGAGATAGGGCTGAGTAGCAAGGGAAGACGCGGCGCGCACCTGAACTGAGTGGCGGCATGAGGCCGAGGCGACACCCAGCTACTCGCTGTACACGAGCTGCGCCTGCTGCGCAGCGGTCGTGCGCCGCCGCAGCAAAACGAAATTCGCCACCCTGGAAATTGCTCGCCAGGCCTGCAGGTCCCTGTCATCGGCGTCGGGGCATGGAGCTGGTGAGCCAAGCGAGATGCCGCTGGCCGCACAGCATGCTCAGTCTCCCGGATTGCAAATTCCAGATATTTGCGGCGACCACGCACGCGTGCATGCGCATCGACACCTCACCCCGCGCCCAGCTTGCCACCTGCAAACCCCCGCGGCCGCGGCACCACTCACACCACTCACACGCCCGACGATGAGCGTCTCACCGGCCTGCTTGAATTTGATTGCCAGGGGCGACCGGTCTGGCTACTGGGGGTATGGCAAGGAGTACAGCCGGGAGGCCAGCCTCGAGGCCTACAAGGCGCTGGTGGAGGCCGGCCTCACTTTCATTGACACGGTGCGCCGGCTCGGTGCCGCGGGGTGGACAATCCTAAAGGAGGGGTTTGTCGCCAGGGGCGGCGGCGACGGCGCACCGAGCATGGCAGCACGCTGCTGGGTGGGGCGTTGCGCGGCCGGCGAGCCGTGTGTAGCTTGCGGTGCATCGTGCGGAGCGCCGCAGCGCCGTTCATCTCGCCATTTTCCACTTTGCGCCACACCGTCACAGGCAGAGGTGTATGGCTTCGGGCTGTCTGAGACGTTCCTGGGTGAATTCATCAAGGAGGTGCGCGGGGCGGTGGCTGGAGGCCATGGGCTGCGAGCGCGATGCTCTGTTGGATGCATGTGGCACCTCCAGGAGGCGCAGGCAGGCGCTGCATGCATGCGCATGCATGGGCATTAGCATTAGAAATTAGGCCACCCCTGTAGCTGCAGCCGCAGACCAGGATTAGAAATAGGACTATTACAGTGTCCTGTAGTTTCCGGCTTGATAGATCGATACGGGCTCATTTGATAGGACTTTGAAGGACCACCAGGGCACTGCTTGGGCAGCTCAGCCATAACCAAGCCGCCTCGCACCCTGCGTCCCCCAGGTGCCCTCCACCCCGGCGCCCCTCATCGCCACCAAGTACGCCCCCCAGCCCTGGCGCCTCAGCGCAGCCTCGGTGCCGGACGCCTGCCGCGCTAGCCTGAAGCGCCTGCAGCTCGAGCAGATGGGTGGGTGGCAGGCTGACGCGGTGGCGGCGGCGTGGGGCTGGATCAGAGGGCGCCCGTCCGCTCGACCCATCGCCTGTGCTCAATGCAGAGCTCAGGCTAGCCGTGCTGTGGCTGCATTCTTTGCACTGCTGCTGGACAGCATCGTCTGGTGCGGCCTCTCAAGCTCCCCAACCTCGCCACTCCTGGCTCCCACCTCTTGCTGCTGCCAACTGGAATCCCACCATCTCCAGAGCTCTACATTCAGCACTGGCCCGGGTTCTTTTTGAATGCGTTCTCAAACGACGCCTACCTGGACGGCCTGGCGCAGTGCGTGGAGCAGGTGCGCCCCAGCGCATGCCTGCGCGCCGCGGGGTCATGCCGCCGGGTCATGCCGCCGGGTCATGCCGCCGGGTCATGCCGCCGGGGCCCGCCGCGGCACCTGTCCGCACGCAGCCCTGCACCTGCCACGCAACTGCAAAGACTCGCCGCGGTTTGGTTGACGCGCTGGCTGCGGGTGCTTACCCTGCCTGCGGTGCACAACCTTCCCTGTGTGGCAAACGCGATCGCATTCTCAGGGCCTCACCAAGGCGGTGGGTGTGTCAAACTTCAACGCGGAGCGCGTTAGGAACGCGGCCAAGGTGCTCAAGGGGCGCGGCACGGTGCTGTCGAGCAACCAGGTGCAGTACTCGCTGCTCTACCGCAAGCCCGAGCAGAACGGCGGTGAGTGTCGGGG